TTCCCCGTCCCTTGGAAGTGTTCAAGCAGACGCCTACCAACCACAGTTCAGAGTCACTGTAGGAAGTGAGGTCAGCTGACCCTTAGGTCCTTCCCCTTGGAATTCAGGGGAAAGCAATGTAGCACAGTGCACGACATCTTTGACCTACCTGGAGTCAAGAGACCTGAGTCTGAATCCAGACTGAGGGAGGATCGTGGGAGTAGGGCAAGTTATCTAAGCTCTCATATCTGCCATTGCTTATTGGTAAAATCAGAATAAATATCTGTGTATTTCATAACTTCATCGAGGCAGTTAGGAAGTTCAGTGGATAGAGCATTGGGCCTGGAGGCAGGAAGTCCTGAGTTCAAGTTACGCGAGCCTGGGCAAATCACTTCATCACTGTCTGCCTCAGTTTCCTCATCTGTAAAATGAGAATAATAACAGATCTGACCTCGAAGGGTTGTGGTGAAGATCAGAAGAGATGGTTGTAAAGTGCTTAGCATAGTGCCTGGCACATAGTAGGAACACATATGAGGCACAATAAATGCACAGGATGGAGGAGGGATTGGCAGCAGAAAAACCAATTAGGAGATTATTGTGACAGTCAGGCAGCCATGAAGGCCTGGGCTTAAGTGGTGACCATGTAAGCGGAGTGAAGGGGACAGATGCTGTGGAGGCAGAGAGCTGGCATGACTTAACAACTGAACATTTGGGGATGCAGGAAAAAGCAGAAGATCTGACCCGAGGTTGTAAATCGGGGTGAGAGAAGGATAATTAGTTCTGTTTTGGAAATGGTGAGATTGGATACCTATGGGACATCCTTGATGATATATAATAGGCAAGTGGTGATGTGTGACTGGAGTTCAGGAGAGAGACAGAGAGAGAAGAGAGAAAAAGATACAGAAACAGAGAGAGATATACACACAGAAACAAGACAGATAGGAACAGAGAGAAGGGAAGAAGGAGAGAGAGAGAGAGAGAGAGAGAGAGAGAGAGAGAGAGAGAGAGAGAGAGAGAGAGAGAGAAGAAGAAGAAGAAGAAGAAGAAGAAGAGGAAGAAGAAGGAGGAGGAGGAGGAGAAGGAGAGGAGAGAAGGGAAGAAGGGAGAGAAGAAGGGAAGAAGAGAAAAGAGAAGGTGGGAAGGAGAAAGAGAAAAGAGAAAGGGAAGGAGAGAGAGGAGGAAAGGAGGGAGGGAAGGAAGGAGAGAAAGAAGGGAAGGAAGGAGAGAGGGAGAGACAGAGGCAGAGTGACAGACAGAGAGAGAGAGTGGGGAAGAGAGAGAGACAGAGACAGACACAGAGGCTGAATATATGGCCCTGGGAGTCATCTGTATGGAGATCATAGTGAAGCCCATGGGAGCTGATGAGACCACCAAGGGAAAAATAATTGTTGTGACAATAGCCTGCCAGCTGGTCACCTCCCCTCTGGCCTGTCATGAAGCCACTTCCCCAGTACCTGAGTTTGACCTTGTCCTCCCTCCCATGATGCTCCGGTGCTTCCCTGGTGCCTCCAGAATGAAACAGACCCTCCTGGGCTTGGCATCTGGAGCTCTTGCCAACCTGGCCTCTCCTCCCTCCACTCTCATTACACACATCCCACCTCCCAAGTTCACCCAGACTAGCTTGCTCAGGGCTCTCCATCTCCCCACTCCTGGCCTTTGCACTCACTGTTCCTCCAGCCCAAAGATGGTCATGTGATTTGCCCAAGGCCACACAGCTTGTAAATGGCAGAATCAGGACTGGAATTCAGCCCCTGTAACTCCAGGGCCTCAGCTCTTTCTGGAGTCTGGCACTCCCTATGTCTTTGAGCCTAGGCTTGAGGGATAGAGGACAAATGTGGCATTCTGGGTAAATGTCAAAGGAGAAACAAAGGCACAGACAGCAACATTGAGGGTATGTTTGATGAGTCATCCAGCTTGGCCATAACTCAGAATGTGTGAAGAGAAATGGGGGACAAAACCACTCACTGAGATGACAGAGGGCATGGAATGGCAGGCAGAAGAATTTGGCCTTCACCTTTTCAGCCATAGGGGGCCATGGAAGGCTTTGGAGTAGGAGGGCCACCGTGGGTTCTGTGCCTCAAGATCACATCAGGCTGCAGGCTACACTGAAGAAATGCATCCTTGGCATGTGCCTTCCAGGCTTCCTAAGCCCTGGAGGGGCTTTGGAAGCCAAAGTTTCTGAGTCAAAGGGACTCCTTGGGTGATTTGGAGAAGGCTTCAAACTCCCAAGAGCAATCATTGTACATGAATAAAATAAAATACATAGGATTATCAAAGGTGAGTCAAAAAAGATATAATTTTTTGGTTCATAATCGACGTTCACAGTCTCTGGGTTAGGACTTCCAGACTGGAGGTTTTCTCAGGTCCCTTCCAGCTCTGTGAGCCTATGTGCAGAGCAGGCACTTAATAATTTTTTATTTGTTCAATGAATGACTGAACTGCAGAGCCAAAGTTTGCCCCATCAACTAGGCTCTTATTGGAGAGAGTGGGAAACAGGGCAACAATCACTTGCTCCCCGCCAAAAGGAGCCATCCCCCAAGAAAGAGATTTCCAGCTCAGAATACTGCAATGTTCTGGACACTGCTGTTGGCTGGTAAGCTAGAAGGAAAGTACTTTTGTAACACCTACTATGTGGCACGCACTATGCTATGTGCCTTTTTTAAAAACAAATATCTCATTTGATTCTCAGAATAACTCTTTGAAGTAGGTACTGTTATTACTCCCATTTTACAGTTGAAGAAACTAAGGCAAACAGAGGTTAAATGACTTGTCCAGGATCACCCAGCTAGTATGTGTCTGAGGCCACATTTGAACTTGGGTCTTCCTGACTACAAGATGGGCAACTACAGTAGAAGGCAGTCTGGAACTCATGCTGTCAACCATAAGCAGGCCACAGAATCTCACATCCCTAGAAACCCACCTGGAATGGGGTGTCTTGTACATTTTGACAAGGGTGGGGTGAGAGGAGGTTGGTGCATGACTGCTGCCTGAAAGGGATGATGTCTAAGAAGCCTCCCAGCTGTGATTCATTGATTGTATCCTTTTCTTTATCTGGGAGCTCCCAGAAAGGGAAGGGCATGGGTGGGGTGGCAGGCCAGTGGATAAGACTACTGGAAAGGACTGTAAGGGTCCTCTAGTCTATTCCCCCCTTTTCCCAGACACTGTAGACACACTATGTCATACTAAAAAAGGATCTTAGCACATGGAACGTTAGAAGGTCTAGACTGGAAAGGCCCACAGAGGTCATGCAATCCGACCCCTATTTTAAAGAGGGGATGACATGCCACGTGCAATCAATAAGTGCATATTGCATTGACTATGTGGGGACAAAGTACGATGCTGGGCACTGAAGCAAAGGGAGAGAAGGAACTTACATGCTAGGAGGGAGACAACATACACATAATGAGCGCCTACAAAAGTGGATACAAACTAGATACAAAGTAACCTTAAGAGAGTCTAACCCTTAAGAGGGGGAAAAAAAGGGAGAGCTTGGGGTCTAGGGAAATCCGTTTGGCAGCTGAGGGGAGGATGGAATGGAGTGAAACACCACCCAAGTAGTAGACTTGGAGTCAGAAAGACCTGAGTTCAAATGAGACCTCAGATGCTTACTAGCTATGTGACCCTGGGCAAATCACTTCACCCTGTTTGCCTCAGTTTCCTCATGTGTAAAATGAGCTGGAGAAGGAAATGGCAAACCAGTCCTGTATCTCTACCAAGAAAACTCCAAATGGGGTCATGGAGAGTCAGACATGACTGAATAACACAAAGGCCCACCTAACCTCTCAGCTTCAGTTCCTCATCTGCAAGATGGGGATAACAATGGCACCTGCCTTAGTACATACCAAGGGTGCTTGGCACAGGGTAGGAACTTTTTAAGTGCTACTTGGCTAGCTGAGTGACCCAGTAAGCACCAGGGGCGCTCTCCCCTGTCCTGGTAGCCTCAGTTTTCCTGGGCTGTAAAGTGGAGATAATACCCTTAGGCCCCTACCTCACAGTGTTATTGTAAAGCTCGGATGAGATAATGTGCCCAAAGTGCTTTGCAAACTCTATAGAAATGTCAGCTGTTGGCACAATTCAGGGGCCTGGGTAAGGCTGGATTGGGCATCTGTCCCAGTATGGATCACGTTAGGGGGAGTGGAAGCTTCCATCAGTGGAAGCGTGGAAAGCGCGCAGGCCTCGCGCCTCGAGACAAATGGAGGACGGACAGGAGGCGCTGCGGGCTGGCTCCCTTAGGATAGGGGCTGCCACGGAGCCCCCCACCCTCGGGGCCGGGCACGGATGGGCACGGCCGCGTTGGCGCCTCTCCGAGTCCCGAGCACCGTGGCTCACGCAACAGGCCGTCCTTGCAACTTTTCTCCAGTGCGGGCCTCTGGAACGTGAGGCTGCGGAGCAAGGCTGGCTTTGGAAAATCCTCCCGGCCCGGGCTGGGGCTCTCCCAGCTGGAGGCCGCCTCTCGTGGACACCCCAGTCCCCCGCCGGGCCGTGCACGCGCGCCCTTCCCAAGGGAGCGAGGGAGGAGCGGGAGGAGGGCACCCCACCCTCGCCTCCCCTCCCCTACCCTAAGAGCACCCCGAGCTCGCCGCCGCACCCCCTCCCCCAGCCGCTGCCCGGCTGCCTGGAAATGTGTAGAGGAGCTGTGACGTCAAAGAGGGGCGGGCCCCCGCGGCCGGCACGCCAATGGGGCGGTGCGGGCCGGCCTCTCCTCGCTGGGGATTGGCGGCGGCCCCTCCTCCCGGCCGCGCTCCCCCTCCCCGCCATGACGTCAGGCGGCGCTGCACCCGGAGGTGGGACCCACTTGAGGAGTGAAGTTTTTTCTCCGCCCGCTCGGCTCCGCTGGCCCTCCTGCTCCCACGCCTCGGCCCCGGCGGCGGCGGGCGGATGGCGCTGCGCCGCGGCGGCGGCGGCGCGGGGAGCCCAGCTGCGGGGCTGAGGATGGATGGGGACGCCCGCGAAGGCGGCGGCGGCCCCGGCGGCGGCAAGGAAGCGGGCGCCGAGGACTACGAGAACCTGCCCACCAGCGCCTCTGTCTCCACGCACATGACAGCTGGGGCCATGGCCGGGATCCTGGAGCACTCAGTCATGTACCCCGTGGACTGCGTGAAGGTGAGGCTCCGCGAGCACGCCTGGGCACCCGGGAACCCCCGGTGCGAGCACGCCGCGAGCCTGCCCGGCTTGCCGGTGCTGCTAGCCGGCGTGCGCGCGTGACTGCTGCCGGGGGCTTCCGAGTCTGGGGGCGTCCCGTGCCGGGGAGCGCCCCATCCCGGCCACGTTCCAGCCTGGGGACCTTTCATCTCGGGGGGCGTTCCACCCGGGGAGCGGGGAGGAGCGTGCTGGGCCGCCGCCGCCGCAGTCGCCGGGCTGGCTGTGCCCTCCTCCCCGCCCCTCGGAGCCGGGGATGGCGCGCGCCATCGGAGCCCTCTTCCTTGTCCTGGAAGGGCTCGGCCCGCCCCCTAGTCCGGAGCTAGCACATTTCTCCCAGAGTGGGTGTGTGCAGCCTTTTGGGGGGAGGGGGAGCAGACTATTACTCCCGAGTATGGGTCGCTGCCCTTAACGTGCGTTTCTGCGCTCATCAACTTCCCGCCCCCTAACTCCCCCCTGCCCAAAGAGTCATTCCGGTACCCACAAGGGTGCCCCTGTGCGCAGGGAGCTTGCATGGCAGAAACTTGCATCCGCTGCCCCTTCCTTTTCCGTCCATCCGGCCGGCAGGCTCTCTCTGCCCGGGAGAAAGGGGGCCGGTCGCCTCAGCTTATTTTTTGTTATTTTGCTGAGGGTGCCCTGGCTTTGAGCTAGCGAGGAGGGCAGCCTCTTCTAGGACGTGGCAGCTGCCGGCCTCCCTAGGTAGGCTCGGGCCCCTTCCCAGCCTCCGGTGCCGAAGACCGCGAGGCAGGCATTCCCGGGATAGTGAAGCTGATAGGGTCGGGGCCAGATTCCAGGTGGAGGACAGGAAACTGCCGGATTCAACTCCCTCCGAGGGCAGAAGGGCCCCGGGAGAGTTGTAGGTTTTTTTCTCCCTCCAGATCATTTAAACACTCACGTGGAGAAAGTGGGGGCTGGGAAGGGTTCCCTGTTGGGAGTTCTGGGGGGGTTTTGCTGTGTGAGACAGCGGTGGATGTGGAGTCAGGATCAGACAGCTATCGAGTTCTGGACCTGCCATTAACCCAGCTGGGCCCTAGCCTACCTGTGTGACCTTGGGCAAGTCACTTCTCTGTGCTTTAACCACCCCCCCTCCTATGAGGAAAGAAAGGAGTAGAAGATGGTTTTTGAGGCCTCTTCTATTTAGACCCTGGAGCCACAAGGGACACCAGAGGACATGGAGTCCACCTTCTTATCTCACAGGGGAGGAGATGGAGGACCAGGGAGCTTAAGTCACTTGTCCAAGGTCACACAGGTGGTGGCGGCTTCTTGGGCTCCACAGCCAGACACCTGTTCCTTCTCTGCCATGCTGCCCATGGGGCGCTGGGGGTGGTTAAGAGTTTAGCTACAAAGAGGTCCTTGCCTCATTGGGTGTGCAGGGCTCTGTAAGGATAAGGCATTGTTAAACTCATGCCCCTTTATTTGTGTTGTAGATTATATACTCTTTGAGGCAGGAAGTCTCATTATTTCTTTCTGTCCTGGGTACCTGACACGTAGTAGGTTCTTAATAAATGGCTGTTGAATTGAAGTGGGCTTCTAGGGTTTCTCACTATCGGGCAGTCTCCCGGGTATCCTCAGCAGAACGATTCTGGCCAGGACAGCAGCGATGATGCCCACTTATTTCCACCAGCTCAGTTGGGTCCAATGAGGGCTTTAGCGCAGGGGGCCCTAAGGTTCCCTTGCAGCCCTATCTATGATCTGCTGATCCTAGGGTTTGGGACAGGGTCTGACACATGGCAGGTAATGATTCATAAATGTATTAGTTGAGGGCTGATACTTCTCACCCAAGGGTTAGGGGACTGGTCCTGTCTGCTCAATGTTTGCTGGTCGGGGCTGGGAAATAGAGAGCATATTCACTGGGGAGAGGCAGTGTGGCCCCAGCCTGGCCTTGGGCAAGGGTTTTTGTCCACAAGGATCATAGGGCTACAGATAGAAGGGACCTTAGGCCAACCTCATCAGATTACAGATGAGGAAACTAAGTGACTTGCCCAGAGTCACAGCTGTAATTGAAAGAGCCGAGAGATGCTGGTCTGTCCCCTAGACAAGGGTTCTTTGCTGCAGCTGAGTCTAGGACTCCAGCCTGTCCCCTAGTCCAGGGCTCTCCCCTGCCGCTCCCAGCCTCGTTCAGTTGCCGAGGATACAATTTCCCCTCCTTCCCCTTGTATCCCACCAGTCTCTCTATTAGAGAGAAGAGCCCTTCCCTGTCTTAGGTTGCCAAGGTGTCCTGAGTGTGTAGGACGTTATAATTGGGGGCTGTTGGGAGGGAACTGAGATCTAAGACTTAGAAGACCTTGGTTCCAGTCTCAACTCTGCCAGTTAATTGGCCTTATAACCTTAAAGGGGGGGAAGGGGGAATAATAGCATTACTGCTTTCATCCGTGATTATTTCATCTCTAAAATGGGGATGAAATTCCTGTACTGTCTCTACCCCAGGGGTGATGTGCATATCAGAGGAGGCTGACAGGAACAGTCCATTGTAAAGAGCTATGCAAAAAACCCCCATTTTTTTTTAAACTGCAAATGAGATCATGCCTGCCAGGCCCTTTGCCCATCTCCCCAAGAGCTGTAGAATACCAAGAAGCCCTCCCTTAGGAAGAGGTCCGTACATCACAAGAGCGAAGCTTGCCACTTTGCAGGCCATGCTCCCACGTGCTTCGATGAAGGCTGGGGGACACACCTGAGCCCAGGGTGGTTATCTGAGTATGCCTCAGACCTGGAGCCCCATCCTCCTTAGCTTTGGCAACCTGGTGCCTCTATCTAGTCACTGCAGGTAACAGTGTCTCCATGTCTGCGGGGTGAGTTTGGCCTCAAACAAACACACAGAAGTAGAATTCACAGGCTCTTTTTTGGGGAAAGCCCTACCATGTGGGACATTTGATCTGCCTTCCTTCCGTTCCTGGTTCTCACCCCGTTCTTCTTTATTTGGATGCCTCATTAATACCTTCCTGTAGGTGTTGGTATATTTGTATCCAGTTGTTAACTGTGCTTTTCAGAGGATTCTCTGCAGAGATTTTCAGGACCTGGAAATGGAGGCCACCTTGGGAGGAACAGTGGACCCCAGGAGTCACAAGACTTGGGTTCTAATGCTGGTCCTGCTCTTATCCCAGTGTGTGACCCAGACAGGGCCAAACCCTTCCTCTCTCTATCAAGGTCCTTCACCTTTTAAAGTGAGCCTGTTAGACATAGACGATGATGATTTACAAATATTATCTCATTTTATCCTCAAAAAAACCCTGGGAGGCAAATTGTTGCTATTTTGATCCCAGTTTTACAGATCAGGAAACTGAGACTCAGAGAGGGGTAGAGGCTTGCCCAAGGTCACCCAGCTGGTGAGGGCCTGAAGGGAGATTCTGGTCTCTGTTCTTCCAAGCTGAGAGGTCTCCCCTCCCCACCCCCTACAGCACAGCTCAAACCCAGAGCCTTTACTTTCAGCCTCAGCAGCCCTTCAGCTCTGAGTGTTTTCCCACACCTCCCACTTCCCTAATTGTCTGCCACTGGATTTCAGAATTGAGAGGTGATGTGGTCTGCTGGGTAAAGTTTGGGGCTTGGAATCAGGGAGACCTCTGGTACTTGATAGCTTTGTGACCACAGGTAAATCATTTCCTTTCTGAGCCTCAGTTTCCTCATTTGTAAAATGAGATGGTTGGGCTGGATGGCTTGTGAGGTCCCCCCAGCACCAAATCTCTCTGATCTTATAAGACATGGATTCTGTTCTGGCCTCAGTCACTTTCTGTCTAGGTGACCATGGTCACAAGTCTCTGAGCCCCAACTTTCTTATCTGTAAAGTGGGGACAAATGCCAGTCTGCCTCAGGGTTGTGAGGATCAAATGAGGTGAATGGAGACAAAGTACTCTATAGAAATATAATCTTATTATTAGGCAGCTGGCCTAGGCAGTGCCCCAGTTAGAGCAGTGGCTGAATTCATTGTCTAGGTCCCCACAAGCTCCTCCAGGCCCCCAGCTCAGGTTGAGGCGGGGCTTCATTATGCCCTCCCTCTCCCCTGTGCCAGGGTTGGGCCGGGGGTTGGGGAGCATCTCGAAGTATTGCCCAGGGTTCCTCTGGGCCGCAGGGTGTCAGTTTGGACTGGTGGACTCTGCTGTTCCAAGTCAGGAGTGTGTGAGGGAGAGTGGGGCCAGAATGCCAGGTGGGTGGAGGAGGAAATTCCAACCAGATTAGGCACACCACACAGAGTCCGTGCTGGTCCCTGAAGCAGCGGCAGCAGCGACGGCAGCAGGGAGAGAGGGCAAAAGGAATCTTCAGGATGGTGCTCTCCTTTTCCTTCCTCCTACCCCAGGCTCCCACCAGGGGTGACAGGGATAGGCTGAAGAGGCCTCCCACCTGCCTCTCTGGACACTTGGACTTAATGGGCTTCTGGGCAGAGAAAACTGAAGTTTGGGAGTTAGAAGGCCTGGCGAGGAATCCCTGCTCTTTTTCCTGTTCCTCGTGGGCCCTTTCTGTTGCTTAGGTCTCAGTTTCCCTATATGTAAAACGAGAGGGTTGGGTTAGATAGCCTTTAAAGGGCCCTTTTGGTTCTGCAGCCTGTGACCCAGGCCTTCCCTTGTCTGGGCCTCAATTTCCAGGTTTGTAAAATGAGGAGGTTGGACTCAGTGACCTCTGAGGCCTTTTCTGGTTTCAGATGCCATGAAGTTGGCTCCCCTGCTGAATGGCAGGACTGGATGTCTTTTTCCTTCTCAGGATTCAGTAATGTAGGGTACTTTGGTGGTAGGACAGTTAGGATCATGAGGAGTGCTGCTGCCCACAGTAGCAGAGGGGCCAGAATTCTGTAGTTGGGGTCAGGAAGACCTGGGTTGGAATCCCGCCTTGGATTCTACTAATGGTACCTTGAGTAAGTCATTTTCACTTTTTGTTTTTGTTTTTTAGGCAGTTGGGGTTAAGTGACTTGGTCAGGGTCACACAGCTATTAAGTGTCTAGTGTTTGGTCTGAGGTCAGATTTGAACTCAGGTCCTCC